TATATATATATATATATATATATATATATATATATAAATATACACTTCCTGTCATTTCACACGAATCTCTGAAATAATGTACTTTGTAATTATGTGCTTCGAACATTATTAATTCAAAACTCGTCATTATTATCTTTTGGAATGAACTAATTTCAAGTTCTTTAATTATATCTCTATTATTTGTCTGGCAAATTAAATGTGATATTTGCTAACTTAGGTTTAAAATATTGTAATTTTTTTAAAAAAATTTAAATACTATGATTGACGACATTTTTAATGATGGAAAAAATAATTTTTTATACTAGTTTTAGAATTATCAACGATAGAAAGTATTGATTTTTAATATTAATTATAAAAATAATCCATATAAAAGGTATGATATTTTATGTCAATTTTAAAATTAATCAACATAAAAATCTTATTTTTTAGATGACAAATATTTCTCTATTGTGCTCTTTTTTTTTTGTTGCGTCTTTTTGTATTTTGTATATATGTATGATGTTATTAATCTTTATATATATTGATTGGATGTGATATATATAAATGATGTATAGTGAGCTTTGGATGTTAAAAATGCATATAACATTAAGGAATATTAGTTAACTTAAGACTTAAGGTGAATAAATTGTTTTAAAAATTTGAAGATCTTATATACGAAATTTTAGAGTGGTGTTAGACTAAGCCATTGTTAGAAAATCTTTATTGAATAGATATGTCTCTTGAAGTGAATTTTGAAGTATGTTGTTGTGTGTCTCCTCTAGGTCTTATTATATAAGACCTCCTAGAAAATATTTAAATATATCCACCGGATGACTTGATTGCTCAACTTTATATTAATTTAGTCCTTAATGTCAGTAAATTTAATTTCACATGAAAAAATAATAATTTATCATGAAATTAAATTATAGAAAGGTTAAATTATTTACAGAAACTATCAGGCATCATGAAATTGATCAATATTTACTGTTCAAGTAAATTGCTTCGTTCACTAGGATGCTTGACTCAAAGTTAAACTCGACGAGGCGGTGATAATTACACTTTACATTATATATTAGCACGGAGATTTCAATTTAATTTGCTTATATATAATATAAAACGATAACGGTGTCCAACACGGTTGATTAACAAGTAACAACCCAGAAAAAAGAAGCAGAAAATAATCCAAAAATATATGAGAAAAAGATGTTGATTCAAGCATACATAGACGAGTGGTTTAAGATTGACACAAAATGTTTATTCCTGGGCAGTGGGCACTCTATGAGGTATGATTTTGCTTAGAAGTCAGCACATCTATGATTTTTGAGTTTTGGAAGTTTCTTTGTCTTTTTTCTTTCCCTTCTTCGCTGGCTTCTCAGCCTTGTGTGCATGAGGATGAGGAGGAGGTTGATGAACGAAATCATGGATGTCCAAATGCACACCAGGGTCATTGGCTTGGTAGCTCCCACCAAGCATGATCGAGTTGTTGATGGCTTGGAAGTTGCTGTTCACAAATGTGCTCAATGCTTCACCCTCACCCTCACTCTTTTTCCCTTTTTTTTCATCCAATTCGCTTCGCATTGTTGCTCCGTCGTTGCTTCCGGCGAGGGTAATGATCCTCCTATCATCTTCATCCTCCTTCTCCAAATGCTGGCTGGACCCTCCACCCGTCACACGATCAGTGATGGCAGACATCATCTCCCTGATTTCCCTGTCCAAGTGCTTCTGGGTCGCTGAAGGCATGTTGATACTTGATATAACAAAAACGTATGTGTGTGCTGTTATTTGAGTTTATTATCATTGTGGGTTCGTTTATTTATTTATATTAGAGATGTGAAGGAGTGCTATAGTTAAGTTCCTCTGAGAATAAGTTAAAGTGGTGGAATTACTTGACTATATGGCAATAAGAGGATCTTCCATTTATTTCTAATCAGATGAAAAGGATAAAGAAGGATTCGGGATTTCTTCACTATGAGTTAACTTCTTATGCTTGTGCTCATGCCTCTTATGTTTCTTTATGTCTTTTCCAAGGAAGAGAATCGCTGCCTGTGCCTTGAATTAATTGGGAAGATACTGGAAGGAATGAATTACAAATTGGAAATTGTAGGGGTATTTGCTGCTCTATATTTTGAGTTAATATTTTAAAATTATTAATATATTTATTAAATTAAGTTGTAGATAAATGTTTTAATTATTAATTATCAAATAAATATTGCAGTTAATTTAGTCTTATTAGACCAAGTCTTATTTTCTCTCTTTGACATGGTCATTTAAAAGTTTTTTTTTTGTTTTATCTTAACCAATTGATCCAATTTTGAGTAGTTTTTTTTTTTTGGTAAATAATCTTGAGGAGTTTTGAGGAACAAATATTTTCATTATAAGGTTTTAAAAGAGTCTCTCGCACATCTCTTTTTTATTATTTAATAAGTTTCATAGATTATTTTTACTCACAAAACTTGCTAATTTTATTACCACAATTATTATTAAAAAAAATTATTATATTTTTAGAGCTTGTACATACGAATAAGTTCTTAAGAATAAAAATATATAAATTAATTGACACCCTATATTCAAGAATGCTCTCTTCTATATGTATTCTAGAAAAGTGTAGGGAATATTTATATATATATACATAAAATATTAAGATATTATATTCTCCAATAATATTGATATTGATAAATAGCAAAAAAATCAAAAAATTTGACAAATGAAACTTCACTTACCAAATTTTATATATGATCGGGTTACCGATATTGAAATTTTAGATTATAATATCTTATAGTTTTACGTAAATATAAATAAATAGTCTCTACATTTTTCTAGAATATATATAGAATGGAGCTTATTCCTGAGTATAGAGTATCAATTAATTTATAATTTATATGTAGTATCAGGTTATTAACATTTATATTTATACAAATTTTGTATTGGAAAGATGGGCAGTTATTTATGATTGATCATGAAGATGAAGAATAATATACAACAATGGTAGGAACTTCTAGTTGTCCATGAAAATCAACAATTTTTATGTTTTAGGAAGCCATAGTTTCCTATTCCAAACCTTAACCCCTCTTCAACTAACTCTGCCACACCCACCACGTCACTCGCACGCCCAATGCCTACACACCCACGTCCTCACTGCACAACCTCTTTGGGCGGATGTGGATACCTCATACCTGGTTTAAGTGGCAACAACAGGAGGAGGAGATGCAGCAAATCGAGGTGGAGAATAAGGCAACTACGTAGGTGATAGAGGACTTGCACTAGAAGCGAGTGGTAGAATAGTGGGAGGGGGAGAAAGAAGAGAAAATAGAGATTCGATTATCTCATGGCACAATCATACACATTTTTAAATTGTTGTAAATAGTAAAAATGACATAATTTCAAGTTATCATATCCATACATACTTGAGTTTACAATTATTTAAAACAAATGTATAAAAGAAATTTAAAATTCTTTAAATTGCAATACAAAAATTTTGTAAAAAAGCATGTAACAAAAAAAAAGAATTTAAATTTTGATAATGATAAGAGCAATTAAATATTGATTTCACTAATTTTTACTATGTAAATTTTTCAAAATTTTCATTCAACGTAGTAATTATACAATAATTTAACAGTTTATAATTATATTTAAACACTAATTCCTTAATGGTGTGTTTGCATGGGAAATTTATATTGAGTAATTCATTTATTTAAAGAATTTCAAATTTTTTGAGGTGAAATATTTTGTTTGGATGGAGAATTTATAAAGAATTTGAAATTCAAGCATTTGTGAAATTCCTTGAAATAGTAGAATTTCAAATTCTCCAAAAAATTGGAGAATTTGAAATTCTTCATATTTGTTTTTCTTATTTCACCTATATATTTAATCTTATCTCTTCATTCTTTTAATTATTGGATATTCAAAAATATTTTTAAAATTATTAAATATTATCTAATATTAATTTTTAAAATTATTAAATATTTAAAAATAGATTAATATTTATTTTTATAAAATTTAATTTAAAAATCTCAACATATAAATATATTTTTAAAATCAATTTTACTATGGTGGAATCAAATTATCATATTTAACCTAATAATTTAAATTTTAAGAAATTTGAATTGAATCATCTAAACAAAATATTTTAAGAATGATAGAAATTGAAATCAAAGTAATTCAAATA